GTCCTAACCAGTGACCTGTACAATGAAAGTATAAACTCTTTAGACTTGTATTCAATATTTCTATAGATACAACCTAAAATCCTATTTAACCTGCCACTAGCAACAACATACTGCTCGGATGGCTTTAGAGACTGATTGACTATTACACTAAGATCCCTTTCCTTCATAACACTATTAAGGTTATTCCCATCCAAATTACACTTATAATTCAAATTATGATAACCCACATGCATTATCTTGCATTTATTATAATTAAAACCCATCTGCCATTTATTTGCCCAACTCACTAAATGATCTAAATCCTTTTGAAAATTAGCAGCAACCTCTTCACAGCTAGCAACACCCAAGATCTTAGTATAATCTGCAAATTTAAGTAATTTATTGATTATCCCTTCATCTATGTCATTGATGTAAATCAAAAAGAGCAAAGGTCCTAAGACTGAGCCCTGAGGTACCCCACTTGTGACATTAATACAGTTTGATTGAACTCCATTTGTAACAATCCTCTGCTTTCTTCCATTCAACCATTCTTCTATCCAATTAGCTAACTTAACCCCCACACCTATAGAGCAAATTTTTATGACAAGCCTTTTATGTGGCACCTTGTCAAATGCTTTCTGAAAATCCAGATATACCAAATCTACAGCCATACCCTCATTTACATAAGCAGTAACCTTTTCAAAGAATGTTAAAAGATTTGTGAGGCAAGATCTTCCTTTAGTGAAATCATGTTGACTATTCAATAAAATTCTAAACTTTGTTAAATGACTGCAAGGCATCTTTTAACAGACTTTCCAAATTTTTTCTACAACTGATGTAAGATTAATTGGTTTATAATTACTGGGACAATTTTTATCACCTCCCTTGAAAAGAGTAGTTACATTAGCTAACTTCCAATCCTCTGGTACTTGCCCACTATTCAAGGACTGACAAAAAATAGTTGCAAGTGGCTCACGTATACAATTGTTAACCTCCTTCAAAACCCTTGGGGAAATATTATCTGGCCCAGGAGCCTTATCATTTTTTAATCTTCCCAATTATTTTCTTAACCAGCTCAGAATTAATGCAGTCATCTTGTTTGATCTCGTTTCCATTTATCAACTGATCATGATGTGGAATTCTGCTTAAATCTTCATTAGTAAAATGAATAAAAAGTAAAATTGAATAATCCAGCCATCTCATAATCATCAAATACTAGCCTTCCTTTATCATCCCTCAAGGCTCCTATCCCTATCCTAACATTTTGTTTTCCCTTAATATATATAAAGAAATCCTTACTGTTAATGTTTAAATTTTCAGCCAACTTTTTTCTCATACATCCTTTTTGATGTCCTACTTTCCTGTTTAACTAACACTCTTGATCTTCTAGAATCTCCTAAGTCTCCTGTCATACTGGTCAATTTAAATTTCTTAAATTTATGATGCTTTTCTTTAATTTTATTTCTTAAACTCTTTGTGAGCCACAACTGATGTAAGATTAATGGGTCTATAATTACTGGGACAATTTTTATCACCTCCCTTGAAAAGAGGAGTTACATTAGCTAACTTCCAATAATTGAATATTTAAAAGTTTATCTTTTAAAAATTTTCCACATTTGATCAGTGTCTCCACATAACTCAGCTGCCCAATTCACAACAGATAACTCTTGTCGCATTCCTTCAAAATTTGCTTTTATGAAATTTGTAACCAAAATATCGTTATTCCTTATCTCCATATCCAGCAAAACATTGAACCTAATAGAGCAATGATCACTGGCACCCAGATGTTCCCAATTTCCACCCTTTCAATCATTCCTGTATTTGAAGTTAACAATAAGCCTAAAATAGTATTGTTTCTAGTTGGTTCTTTGACTAACTGGTGAAGAAAGCCATCCTGAACAGTTTCCAAAAACCTTTCTCCCTCATGGTTTGATTCTAGAATTTCCCAATCCAAATGCATGAAATTAAAATCACTCATAATTGACTTTATTAACAGCTGAAATCTTAATCTATTGTAAAGTTTCTTACTAATTACATCAGTGTCATTTGGTGGTTTGTAACAAATTCCCACTAAAGCCTTTTCCCATTATATCCACTAATAGAAACCCCAAATGGATTCAGTCTCTTTGCTATTATCTTTGATTTCCTCAACTTCAACAGGATGTAACTCGCATTTTACATATAAAGCCACTCCTCCCCTCTTTAATACTCTATCCCCATTGAATAGCCTGTAACCCTGTATTTCAAAAAAAATTTCTATGTTTAACCATGTTTCAGATATTCCCATTATATCAAAATCTCCCCCCCCCCCATTCCTACCAGTGTTCTAAAGTATCAACCACTTCTAACAAAAGTTGTTATTGCCAATAAAGATAATTCCTCATATATTATACATGGGTTTTCAAAAGAATACAAAGTCAAAATATGCTGCTAAATTTATTTCAACTTTGGTTTAATATGTAATGGATATGAAGGGTTTCATTTAGACTTGGTTGGTTGTTTTGGCAACTGAAAGGGTGACCATGAACTGAATGCAGTTCCATCACCTTATATGCACTATGTTCTCATCTTTCTTCACAAGAAAATGAAAACCATTATTCACAAAACAGCAAACTATTAAGACAGTTAATACTAAGACCAAACTAATATTTTTGCAATACCACACTTGAAGTCATAAAATTAGATTAGAAAGAACTCTAAAATTTACATTATGTAATTTCAACGTTTAATGTGAAATGTTTGTTGTTTCAATTTGAGTAACCATCAAAAATGAGAAACAAATCAGTTTGGCTATCTCAAAAATGATGACTATTTATTGAAATCAGTGGCAGTGTTATTTAATATCTGTTTGAAAATTAACTTTAAGTTGAACTGCCTGTGACATAATACGTTTTTAGATATTGTTTTATTTGTATTTGAAATTTCTGTTGTAAGAACATTCTAAACAAATGTACCTTTTTTCATTTTTAACCTGTAAATTTTAATTTTGAATGGATTTGTTTAGCAGTTAGTATATAACCATAGTTTCTGTGTAAGGGTTTCATTTTGCCAAAAGGCATGAGATTTTAAAGTTGTAAACATTTTAATCTCTCCTTACATTTTCTTCAAAACTGTGACTGCTTAATGAAGACACAAAACTACTTGTTTATTTAAATGATTGTCAGTTTTTATGAAAACTTTTTCATTACTTTTTTGAGATGCTTTCTTTTAATATTAATGGGAAATGTTTTATATGTAAAAATTTCAGCTCCTAACTTAGAATATACTTGCAGGTAAGCAGTGGTGTATTAAATCCATTGTGATTTTTCAGTTTTTAACATTTTCTTTAGTTCTCCAGGGTATCCAGATTCTAGGTTTAACAATACAGTGAAAGATCACAAATTTGATCATCCTTGGTTTCAGACAATTATAATGTTTACAGGTGAGTAGTATAAAGTATCTGTAGAAACTTAACACATGATTGCTTATGCTAAGGTTGACAGCACCTTCATTCTTCATCTTCTTAGTGTGGTTAAAGAATTTCTTCACCTGAAAATGGTACCTTAAACTTTGTAATGGGATGTTAATGTTTTCTGTTTCTAAACAAAAAAAAATAAGAGCAACTATACAAAATAAATTCAGATGTTATGTTAGTTTTACCTAAGGCTATTTTAAACTAATTGTGTGATTTTGCATTAGTTAAAACATTTTATTTTTTCGTATTCATTTCTACATAGAGTAAATTGTTTGAATGTGGACTAGTTTCAAACTAGCCTTGCTGGCATATTGTATGTGCAGTAGAAAGAAATTTAAAGTTTGACTAGGAAAGTCTTAGAATTAAGGTTAACAACTGCATTGTAAAAGCAGAACTCCAGTTTATAAAAACAAGCTACTTTTATTATTCATATATATTAATAGTTCTTTTATCTCTTGCATTTAATTTTTTGTTTTTTAATTGCTGAATAGGAGAAATGGCTTGCTTAATTGGTTTATGTCATGTTCGATGGAAAGAGAGGAAGATGCACTTATTGCAAGAAGTAAGTCAAGAAACATAGTTTTGTATTAATTTATTACTATACTTAAAACATAGTTTTGTATTAATTTATTACTACATTTAAAACATAGTTTTGTATTAATTTATTACTATATGTAAAACATAGTTTTATATTGATTTATCACTATATTTAAAACATAGTTTTGTATTGATTTATCACTATATTTAAAACATAGTTTTGTATTGATTTATCACTATATTTAAAACATAGTTTTGTATTGATTTATCACTATATTTAAAACATAGTTTTGTATTGATTCATTACTATACTTAAAACATAGTTTTGTATTGATTCATTACTATACTTAAAACATAGTTTTGTATTGATTCATTACTATACTTAAAACATAGTTTTGTATTGATTCATTACTATACTTAAAACATAGTTTTGTATTGAATTAAATATAGTAACAAGTCAATACACAACTACGTTTTACATATAGTAACAAGTCAATACACAACTACGTTTTACATATAGTAATAAATCAATACAAAACTACGTTTTACATATAGTAATAAATCAATACAAAACTACATTTTACATATAGTAATAAAAATTTTCACCTGATTATGGCTCAGTGGTTGATGTAATATAATCTTTGTGTTTGTGCTGTATTATGTTGTGTGTTGATAGCCTAAGACTACTGAGTTGTATAGTATTATGGGATCAAGATTTAGCCTTACTTTTGTGAAAGGTCAGGGTGAAGAGTTGCCTACTTGAAACTTGAGGTGTTAAAAGCATTTATCTCAGAGCACTATTAAGAGCTGAGGCTTATGAGCAGAATTGTTAATGCTCTGATACACTATAATGCTTTATAAGCACACTTTACATATGCTAATGCTACAACACGGATGTTAGCTGTGGTGTCACAAGGAAAGTGTTTAGTACCTATTTGTTTGATAAGAAATTTCTGATCAGTGCAATCTACCAGGGTAAACTTATGGCTGAAGATGTCTCAATCATTTTTTCCAAGAAACGATGTTCGTAGAGTAAGAGTTAAATAATATAGAGCCTAAATACACAATAGTGCAAAGTATGGAGCCTTTAGTATTGTTCATGGAAACAAAAAAAACTTGCATACCAAAGCATATAGGATAGTAACAAGCTTTGAAACTACATCTTAAGCTAATCTTTAGCAATTTCCTCATCCACAAACTCAAAGTTATAATTACAAAAGATACTCTTCTAACTCTAAAAGCTGGTTGGATAAAGCTGGACATATCTTATGGTACCATTAATAAACAAGGATTTGAAGTTGACAGAGAGTCACTTGCCAAAGATCTACAAGATTTTATCCACACCTTTGAACCAATGACTACTTTTTTAAGAATGGTGGCTGAAAAAACTATAATTACAGCAATTTCATATGACAAGACATGAAAATCCTTCAGTTGAGATCTAATAGACTTTTATACCTTTGATCCTCTTAAACATGAGCTTAGAAGTTGATACCACAAACAGTGGAGAGTCTGTTAAGAAGTGTGGTTTTAAAGTGATCTTGCTATCATTTGAATGAGTTTGTTGTATCTGTGCTTTAGCTGTGTCAGGAAACAGTATGTATTCATGACCATCAGAAAGAACACAATCAACCAAGGACAAAGTAACTTCAAAGATAGCATATGATCTGAAACATCATTCTTATGGCTGTATTTCAGTATAAGTGCATTCTGGCACTGACTAGTCTGTTATTGATGTGATAGCTCCTCTGGTTCAGACAGCACTGTTTTTCTTCAGGAATGGAGCAATTTGTGTTACTAGAAAATGTTATTAGTTTAACCTTTTTGCAACAAGTACCCTTTTAAATCCCTTTCTATGCAACTCACTGACTTTTATTCAAAATATAATTAAACAACTTTACTATCAATGTTTGTCAATGAAATTAACATTATAATGTTTTTTATAATTCAAAGTTTTATGTTATCTAAGTTTCAATTCCTTTGTTTCAAAAGATACTTTTAAACAAATACTTAAACTTCAATTCTGTTGTCACATGACCCACAAGCTATGAAAAATCTCAACTTCACTACTCACTATCTTATAAGATAACCCCAGTCTGGTAGATGTATGTCTATACAATAAGTACATTTACTTGCTCTATTGACATGTATGTTCCTAAGTTCTTTGGCTGAGTTCTGTTGAAACTACTGATAAATTTTTTCCATTTCCTGACAGGTGCCATGCCCACCTTATTTAGAGTGGTAATGTGTCTTCAAGAAGACTTTTCACATACAAAAATATTTACTCTCAAACGGCCCTGACATCTAATAAGGGCCTGGGCTAATAGTATGTATCATTATTAGAGTGCAAAAGATGATAGTAAGAAGAACAAAGTAGGCAACATTAACATAAATAAAAGTAACTTATCACATTTCTGTAGATTCATTGGATGAGTTTCAGTCAGGTTACCTGAATTCATGGGATGTCTCGAGCCAAGAGTTTAGGAATGACTGCCCTAACGTATTCTTTGTTTTAACTATTTGTAAGTATGGGTGATGTAACTTTCTTTTTATTAGCTATACTGTAAATAATACAGTACACATACTTTTTAGAGAAACAGACTGATGGTTTCTCCTGGTACTTCAGATGGACTGTCATCGAGAATCATAAACCCATCACAACCTAGGTGAGTGCTAATAAAAGCTCAGAGATTTCAACCAGTGCAAATTGCTGACCATTGTGAAAAATAAGTATATTCTCATATATCTAGCATAATCTTTTGTAGTTTTGGTAGCATACTTAAATATACTTCATTTACCAAGATGTTTACTACTTAGCTTCCATATCATGACAGCTTCCTTTTGATATTCTATTGTTTTTGCAGCTAAGAATTTTATAAAGCATGAAAGTTCTCGTGAGGTTGTTTTAAGTCTTTTAACAGAACCTTGTGAAATATAAAACTGACAGTTATCTCTGCATGTGAAATCATGGTCCTGGGTAGAGCTGGGTAATTAGTGGAATATGCTTATTGATTAATTGTTGGACTCATTAATCAATCAAATTCAACTAATTTTTAACTCTATTGATATTAATCTCCCTGTACTTAGCTAGTTTTTGTTTTTTAAAAGACATTTTCAACTACCTTCATTCAATATAATAGACATTATGGTGTTTTGCTGGCAGTTGTCAATAGCACATTTTTCAAAAGAAACTTGTTTTGCCAAAAGTGAATTAAAAAAAATTAATCTGAAGATCTACTACTTGACAAATCACTTGTGTCTATACAACCACATGGTTGTCAATTTTTGTTTTTAAAATATGCAATGATTCACCTAATTTATATTTTTCTAAATCAAAACATTAATAAATAATTAAAACATTTTACAATCACTAATAACATAAGATAAAATTTAAGGACAACAAGGGACCTGTTAGCATTATAAGTTCATTGCATGGGTCATTGGTTATGTCACACTTGGAGTACTGTATTCAGTCTTGGGCTTATTATTATAGAAACGACATTGAAGTGTTCAAAAGAGTTCGGAGAAGGGCTACTAGGATGATACTTGGGATGGAGAGGTTGTCTTATGAGGAGACATTAAGATCTCTGAATTTGTCTTCTCTTGAAAAAATAATAGTTAGAGGGGATCTGATTGAGGTGTTTAGGATTAAGGGCATTGATAGTGTTGATGTCTTATCTTTTTTCCTTCTAAATGGTGATAAAGGTAGGACTAGGGGGCAAATATAATTTTTGGTAGGATAGGAGTTCCCTTAATTAGGACAGTTTTATTTTTCTAACAGAGTATTTTGCCTATAGATGTGTTGGATGCAGCAAATTCAAGAGAGTTTAAGGGAAGGCTTGATAAATATTTGAAAAAAGAGGACTGGATTTAAAGTGTTTTTTTTTCTAGGTTTAATTTACTATAGTGAATGGGATGGTCTAGGTGAATCTTTAAACTTGTATTTCTGTAAATACAACTTAAAATCTTATTTTCCTCCCACTACCAACAAACCGTTTCCATGGGTTAAGAGAATGAGATAATGATCAACCAGAATACCAAGATCCAATTCTTCCACAATACTGTTAAGGTTATTCCATCAACATTAATTATAACTCAACTGAAATTATGATAACCCAATTGCATTGTCTTGCATTTATTATAAGAAGGCTCTTCCCTTTATTCACTCTACTCACCAAATAATCTAAATCCTTTTGGAAACCAACAGTATTTTCCTCACTGCCAGAAACACCCAAAATCATAATATTATGAGCAAATTTAAGTAATTTATTGTCCATTCCTTCATCTGTGTCATTTGTGTAAATCAGAAAGTGTAAAGATCCAAACACTGAGCCCTGAGGTACCTTACTTGTGACATTAACCCAATTTGACTGAACTCCATTGATAATAACCCTCTACTTTCTTCCATCCAGTCTCTTTTGTATCTGATGAGCCAACCTGTCCCCCAAACCTATAGAGATAATTGTTTTAACAATCCTATCATGTGACACCTTGTTAAATGCTTTCTGAAAATCCAGATACATCAAATCCACACACTTACCTTCATCTACATAAGCAGTAACCTCTTCAGAAAATGACAAAAGATTATTAAAGCAAGATTTTCCTCTAGTGAAACCATGCTGACTATCCAACAAAACTCTAAACTTTGTTAAATAACTTTGTAAAGTATCTTTTAGCAGACTTTCAAAAACTTTTCCCACAACTGATGTAAGACTAATAGGCCTATAATTACTGGGACAATTTTTATCATTTCCCTTTAAAAGAGGAGTAACATTAGGCAACTAAAATTTCCAATCTTCTGGCACCAGCCCACTATTCAAGGACTTAGAAAAAAACAATAGCAAGTGACTTACATATCCTTCAAAACTCTTTCCAAACAGCTGTCTGTAGGGCAGTGTTTCTGCTAGTAATTGTATGCTCATTAGCAGCTGAAATCTTAATCTCACAGTAAATTTTCTGTTTTTTCATTAGTTCCTTCTGGTGATCTGTAACAAGTTCCAACTAAAAGCCTTCTTTCCCTTTATCCATTAAAATAAGTCCAAATAAATTCAATCTCCTTGTCATTATCTTTTATATCCACAACTTCAACAGGATGTAATTCATGTCTGTTAGACAGTTTATATTTGTTTTTTGAATACCAGAGTGCACTAGATCAAGTAATTATTTTAAACACTCTCAACTATGAAAATAAAAAGTTAATTCCAGAAAGGTTTGATAACACAGGCCTGCAATGAATTTATTGACATTTTTACATGTTCTATGGTAATTCCTGTATGCTGAATCCGAAAATGATATCCATTTTTCTTCATCACGTACATATTTTTCGCAAAATGTCATATCGCATTGCGTAAAAGAAAGACCACAACACATAGTTTGAGACTAAAAGAAGTACATTTCACAAAAAAATCAGGAAGAATGAGGATGCATATTCATTTGACATCAGTATTCTTCCCTTTTCTTCAGTTTGTATTGTTGTTGAGAAACATAATAATAAAAAATGTTCATTGTGATAAATGCAAATAATAATTTGATCTAAATAAGAATTTTTTTCTTCCCAATTTGTAAAAACCCTTACATAATAGAAAAAATGAATATTATTTTTTGCAATCTGCATAGCTGAGTTGTGGAAAATTCATTATTAAAACCAAAGTAACTTTTATGAAGTTTAAATTTGCAGGCCTGTGTAATTATTAATTTTTTTTTATATGCCTGAACCTTTTTTTTTTTTAAATATATCCCATTGTATTGTGCTTTGATACTTATTTTTTCTATGAACATCAGTATTGTTGGTTAAATTTTGCATTCTTGAATGTTTTTTTCAAAATAATTTTTTTCCCAACAATTAAAGATCTATTCAGTTAACTGACACATGATGTGGGCCTATAGCCAAAACTCGTAGTGTTTTTAAAAATCTTTTACTAGTACAGTTTTTGTTTAGTTTGATAAAGTTTGGTAATTTAACATAAAAGTGTTTTGTTTTTTTTATGTCTTTACCCTCAAAATATCAGTACGTTGTTTAAATGATGATGTACTTTGGGGCATTTATTATAAATCAGAAAAACACTAAACATAACAGTGATTGGAGAAATTACTTTTAGGTCCAGGTTAAAATATATTACATACACTTAGTTCTTAGGATATTTTATGATTTTCTATGAGCACAACCATATGGAGGAGATCTATCATATAGTAGTGAATGGAATATGTATAACTACATTTAGGCTATCAAGCTTGTGGATAATTGTGGTGCATCTTCACTGTACAGAAGAACTATAAACTTAAAATCACATGCTGCTTCACTTGTTAGAAGATGAGAAGAGTAAGATTATCATGAGTATAAAATTAGTATAAACAGTACAGTAATATTATAATAAGTGAGTTAACAATTCAGTACTTTGAATTGGCAAAATGCCAATTCCACAAATCTTTATCATTGTCGTATGTTTAGTTGTCATTGTATATTAGGCCAAAAATTTAATTCTGTGTTTATGGTAACATTACCAGGAAAAATTAAGGTAAGTAAATAGGATCTTATTTATTATTATGAAATGTTATACTGTACCATATACCATTATCAAAACAGAGAATGTTTTTCGTGCATTCTATTGAAGCAAGAATTAAGTTCATTTCATTTTCTTTAGCAAATATATATATTGTTCTATTCGTTCTTGTAGCACATTTACTTCACATAAGCCTATGAGTTGTAGGCTGAATTTCTTGTTTCTAATAGACAGTTGCCCAAATAGACTTTCAATTAAAATGCATTATGGAAGCAGTAACTGTTTCATTTATGTAACCATACCCAATTCACTCTGTAATGGTGTTTAATAGTTCTTTATAGAATTATTATTCATGAACTTGTATATGTCAATTATGAGTTTTTGATACAAATTACAAAAACTGAAATTAAAGATACTAATTTTCAAATTTACTAAGCTAAGTTCATAATACAAACGTTGTAAGGTGCTTATTTTTCTGTTTCGTAATATGTGGACATTGTTTTAAATTGTAGTGAAAGAAAACGTTTTGAATTGTATATACAATTATATGTTTTTAAAGCATTAATGTTATCTACAAGATAAATTAACCCAAACTTTCTGTAGGCAACACATTTTAATTAAGGGGTATTGCAAAATAAACCACACTTTTTCCCCAAAGTAATTATGAATTTGGTAGGACCATGAATATCATCACTCATGAGGAAATGTCATTTCAGTGTACTCTTGGGTGTTTTGAAAAAATTTTGAAATGAACAAGAGAACACTCCATCATCATAACACATGAAAGCATGGGTATGTAAGATGTATCAACACTTACACATTAAGATGCTTCTCTAACCAAAGAAGCCAGTTGCCTTCCCTGTAAATCAGCAGTTAAAAGTTATTGACAGCAGCAGATAGCCTTAGAAGCTTTACTATTATTCAAAAACGAACACTTAGATAATTGTAACAGTCAAAAATGGTATACAGGAAATCCTAATTTTGATTTCATAAGTTATGATACTAATCAGTTAAGCTCAACAAGCTTTAATGAATTGAAAACAATAATGGAAACTCATTATGGCATTATTTTGATAGATGGAATAATTAAGAATAGTAGTAAAAGGAAACCCTGTTTTTGATTAGTTGTTTATTTTTTAGGTGTTGTAAAGCTAATTGGTTAAGCTGAATAAACTTGAATTACTTGAAAATAGTAATGCCAGTATTTTGATTACTTGAATAATTGGAATAATCAAAACTAGTGATAATCAGAAACCCTATTTATGAGTTATGACACTAACCAACTGAGCTGAATAAACTTGAATTAATTGAAAATAATAATGCCATTATTTTGATTACTTGGATAGTTGGAGTAATTAAAATAGTAGTGAACAATAATTTCAATTAATTGATTACTTTGTATGACACTAATTGACATAACCTATGATCATTAGTAACCATTTATATTGATTAATCAAGTTAACCACCCAGCTCTAGCCTTGTGATACATGTAATTTTATGCTTTAAAACAGATGAATTTAGAACAATGTGCAATAAGCAATCATCTCTGTAGCAAGGGCATTGCAGTTTCTCGTATATTTCTGTTAAAAGTGACATCAAATATTTTCAGAAATTTAAGTAAAATTATATCTCTGTATAAAATAGCTAATAATTTCAATCCTTGTTGTGTATAAAGCATTTGCTTAAATTAAGCATATTTAGTCAGTCATTGAGAACATTGATATTAAAATATGATAATTTTATTTACATCTGGGAAGAAAATTTCATGGAATTTTGATAATCCAGTCAAAGTAAACAACTGTGCTTTCATCTGCATTTGTTTGTAAGTTTCTCTTTGAGAACCTTGTAGTTTCAACTTATTGAATCTTTTAAGAAAATTAGTATATGTTTTTAAATGAATTTAAAAGGTTCAATTGACTTAGAGGAAGAATTATTTAGATAAGTTTATTAAGTATTACCCTTCAAAAGTTATAGAACTTGGTGTATAGTACGTTAAAATTGCTCTTTGAGAAATAAATTTAAAAACTTTTGTTATTTCAGGGTATTTCAGTGGATTTTTGTACTTCCAACAGTTTGTGATTTAATTGGAACTTCTTTAGCAGGTAAGGCCTGCACAGGGTCAAGTTGTTGTTACTAATAAACTGAAAGTGATATTAATTTTTGTAACACATAAGAAAGAATGCTCTTAAATGTATGGGAATTATAAAACTCATAATTTATTGTTGTCAGTTGCATTGTGTAATACGTCATTGCTTCGGATTGTATTCAGTTGAAAAGTGTAAAAGTATCATTTCTTACAGTTTGAAATTTAATTAGTGATAAATTATGAAAAAATTTGTTTTACCTTGTGATATCATCTCATCATTGTTTTTCTTTTCTAAGTTAGCATATAAACAAAATATACTGCAGGAAATACATGCACAGAACCCATTTAAAAAAACACAAGTAAATCTGAAAGAAAAATAAAGTTGTGTAGTCGATGGTAAGCACAGTTTACTCACTTTGAGTTTAATTAGTGACTACCATGCCACTGTCTAGTCTCAACTCCAAACATCAAAACAAAAAGTTAATTTGCCCACTTCATTTTTAACCATTATAGTTCTACAAAAATATAGTCAAAACTATGCAGGTGGACAACTTGGAATAAACTTTATGCATTCAGATTCCCTAGTTGTTTTTTTTAGGGTTTGGGTAATTGTATTTATAATCATTAAAAAAATCCACAGTTAATTATAAGCTCTTAAATAATGCAGAGTATCAGGTCTAGTTACTTATCAAAAAAACGATAATTTCAATCTGCTCTATATGTTGAATGACAAAAATATAAACTTCATTTTTCTGTGTTTTTATTGTTGTTTTTTACTAGGAATCGGTTTGTTATATGTTGATGCTTCTGTGTGGCAGATGCTAAGAGGATCCATTATAATCTTCACTGGGATTTCTTCTGTAAGTATCTTGCTGAATAACCTGAGACTATGCAAACATAAACAAACATATACATATTGGAACTTTCGATGTCTACATTTAAAGGTGTACATTATTAATATAAATGAAGCTTCTAGGAAACCCGTTTTCCATGTTAGTGTTCCAGGTGAGAATATGTCACAGAAAGTTACTAGAAATGTTTGGACTTATAACACTCTCGCTTACTTACATTGCAGATTAAAAGTGTAAAACAATAAATGTGGACATTATAAAGCATTAGTATTTAATAACACTTGTAGGTGTTGATGAATTGTTTTGTTTATAAGAAAGCAAGCTAAGTGCAATCTGTTAAATGTTCCTGTCGGCCAAGTTCACACTTCTAGCTTGTTGGGTTACACGTTGTGTCGTGTTGGTACAGAGTGCTGAAAGATTGTTTCATGTTGTAACCATTTACCATGATAAGAAATATTCTTACTATTCTATGAAGATTTATATTTTGATGAAAAATATCTGTGTATATTTTATTTCTTATTTTTATTAGTCGTAGCTCTCTCTGTGTGTATTGTAAGTACTTTTGACAAAAGAATATGTAGGATAATTTTGTTTACATTACTCTGAGGTTTTTCAGTATGTTTATGCAATCTCACTAAGTTTTTTATGTTGTTACAGATTTGAAAACATTTTTTTTATGGGCTTAATATTTTTTCTTTTGTGTTGATAAACATTTTGATTCTATTAGATTAATAGAAAACAGTTACATTGGTTTGTACATACAAATTGCATCATGGAAAAATAAGAAAAGCTAAGAACTTTTCTAAGCTTTTTCAGAAGTAAGATCCATTTTCTAAAAACATTGAGGAAAATGGTTTAGGATTTTCTGTTTTTCATTACATTTTATTTTTTGTAAAATTTTGTTGTTTTTTTAAGTTAAAGTTGACAAATTGTGCCATGGTATTGAAAAACAATTCTCTGTATAATGACAGTGTTAACTAAGAACAGTTCTTCATTTGAATATCCATTGTACATAAAGTTTTTGGAGAAATTCATACTTGTATTGACCAGCTGATTCATATTTCTCTGCAGAAAATCTTCCTGAAGAGGAAACTGCATGGGCTTCAGTGGACTGGGATTATAGTCACCACAGTAGGATTGGTGCTGGTTGGATTGTCAGATGTTTTAGAGGAACATCATAGTAGTGACTCAAGGGTTGTGCTTGGTATTTTGATCATTTTAAAAGCCACCTTCCATGAGTAGTATAGATTAAATATTTCTTGTAAGGTTGTCTGAGGTTTAAAGATTGACACTTGTAGCCATTTTATAATGAGGGCCCATGGCTCAATGGTTAAGGCATTAAATTCAAAATTTGCAATTCTCAGGATCGAAATCCAATGTCAAGTATGCTTGTCCTTTCAACCTTGGGGCATTATAGTGTGATGAACAATCCTACTATTAATTAGTAAAGATTATCCTAAGAGTTGACAGTGGGTGCTGCTGACCAGTTTCTTTCACTCTGATTGGTAATTAAAATTGGGGGTGGCAACAGATAGCATTAGTAGCTTTGTCATATAGAAACAAACAATTTAGAAAAAGTATTGCGAGTTCAAATGTTTTTTGTTTTTTTAAAGTTGTTCCCAACTACTCTTGTTTTCATCAGCGATGCTTATGTAAAGTTGAACTGTTATCTTATATAGAAGTGGTTGTTTTGTCTAAATGCAATAATTACAAAATTCGTTAATTTTTTTTTCTTAAGTTTACACATCTGAATGGAACTTTTCATTTGTTTTGGAAGCATCTGGTGGAAATTAATATTTAATAGCATAAACATTTTAGGATTTCTTAGTAGCAGGAGTGAGATATGATGATCTTGACACAATCTACTGATACAGCAAAAAACAAAACGGAAATAAACAGTCCGTTACTACCAAAAAAAAATTTAATAATAGTCTTTAAGGACACAAAAATAAAATGTGAATTGATCCTTTTACATACAAAAGCAAACAATCGAACAGTTTGCTAGCACACAAAAACAAAGTATTTCCCTACTTGTACAGAGCAAATACTATACCAATGTTTAGAGATACCTTTTTTTTGTTAAGGTTTCTATTAATAACTTGTTAATGATTTGACTATTGTTCACATCCTGAAAAGAGCATAGAGAAAATGTACTTTTTACCATGGTTGTACAATATGTCTTTCCACTTTTCCATGGTTGTACGGTAGTATATGTTTCCATAATGTACAATGTATTTTATTATGCTAGCTCAGTATATGTTTTAATTGTTGTATGACATATGTAGTGTGGTTGTTAAGTATATGCTTTCACTGCCCTATGATATATGTTCCTGTAATTGCTTAGCATATGTTTTCCTTGTTATATGGTGTACATTACTGGGGTTGTTTTGTTCAGTATGTTTTTATTATTGTATGATATACATTACTTAGTATGTTGTGTTAGTTGTATGTTACTTTATAACAATTTAAAGAAACTCTAAAGTAGAATATGATGCAACTAATTCTACAGGTACAGAAAACATTATGTATATATGCATTACCTAGTAAAAGCTATTATTGGACTACATTAGTGAACTAATGTAGCTGTTTGTGTTTTAAATTATTTCAGTATATGGTGCAAGAACAGAGTACACAAATCTATTTCGATAACTCACCTCCACACATAGTTTATCTTCTTCACTTATCTGCCAGAGAGATTTGCATGCCACTAGCCTTGAAGCAACTCCCACATAATTTAACGGGAATTGTGCTGGTGTATGATGACATCATCATGTGACAAAAGCCCTCCATCTATAGGAGAGCAACACACTACCCTCCACAATAACTCCCCTTATGCACTTGCACCCTTGGTAACTTCATTTTTCTCCTCAGCACTGAATTGAACAAAACGTGTTTAAATTTCTTGTCTGAGTTCAATTTATTCAGATTTGCATCATTAACAAAATATTGATTTTCTTTTCTTTGGCTTTTATTTCAAAAGCTTTAATTTTTTTCATCATGAATTCTTAAACGACTATGATTTATACTTAGTCCTGAATGAGTGATGCTGTTTGCACTTAGGCCTTATTTCTACTATGGCTTTTGGAGGGTCATTTACTGTTGGAGTCATTGCAGCCATTATTCAATGTGTTGTGGATTATCACATGCTTACTGAGCCTCCTACTCCACCTCCCCTCGAGATGTATTCCTGTATGTAGTGAGGGGACCTCCCAGGGAAGGTTCTGCATTTTCAGTGGATCCTGGTGATTGAGTAGTGTCAGGGGTACTGCAACACACCACCTTGGCCTTGAATTTCTGTAGACGGGTGGGCTTGGGTCAGTTGGCTGGTCCTGTAGGGCTAGGGTCAACTGAGTACCAGTGTTTGGCATTCTCAACAGGTGTTGTGTCTGATGCTGGTGTTTGGGTATAGTGCCCACGAAACCCTGGTGTTGCTGCAGTGTCCTTGTTTGGCATTGCAGTGCATCCCCTCGTAAGACTCCATGGTGGGTGGGGTCAGTGGGCACTGAATCTTTCTTCTTTTATTATGGAACCCCCTAATTCAAATAAAAATAAAATGGTAAAAACTTATCTTATTGGTAAACGACCATGCCTTGAAGACTCTGACCTTCAATCTTCAACTCATCTTGCTTCTGTACCTTTATTATTAATTTAATCCTTTAAACAGTTTATCAGAATCAGACATGAATAATCTGTTATGATTGTTAATCAGAGCAACTTGTTGAAACATTTTTTCATACTGTACTTTTCTTGTAGGAATCATTCTGATTTTAGCAGGACAGCTGGCTAATGCAATACAAATGATAATAGAAGAGGTTTTCTTAAAAGGCAGAGGTTATCATCCTTTGCAGGTAAGCCTATGAGTTGGAAATTATTGAAAGTTTAGTAGTCCTTAGAACCACTTCCCGCACATTTAAACACTGGTAGATATAATGGATTGTTGTGTTAGTTGTCTATAATTTGTAGGAAAAAAAAAACCTTTTTAAAATTGATTATGCCAATCTGCATAAAGTATATCATGATAAGATAGAATAAAAATTTTGGGAGAGGAAAAGATTGACTCAGCTTTAATTCTTATTCAACTTTAGTGTTGAGATCACACTAAGGTAAGATATCAGTTCACAGATGTTGTTTTTCTACAGTGTGAGCCTGAAAGAAGATTGAATATAAGAGTGTTTTTTTTTGGGGGGGGGGGGTAGAGGGAGGTTGGATATTTAGCTAAAAATTATTAATTTCCACAGTCTCGTCAAATTGTATCTTTTAATGCCCATAAAGTTAGCCCTTTTGCTATGGATAAGGCCTGTCATCATGTTTATAGACTTACATTCAAATTTTTATTAAACTACAGTTTATGAATGTATGTTAATAAATTTGGCATCAAGTTAGTTTATAATTCAAGTTTCAATATTATACAGTATTTAATTTCTTAATTAAGTAATTATTAAGTAAATATTTTTAAAAAATTGCTAAATATCGATTTTTATCATGTGGTACATCGTCTTCTGCTTTCGTTCACATTACATTTTATAAAACCCACAAAACAATGTCTATAGTTTCTTATGAATTAAAACCTCAAGTTACCAATATTGACAAGCTAGAATATAAATAAAGAACTTTCTTTTTTATTTGCCAAGATATCATTATATTTAGCGAATCTACCACAGTGGCTCTGCCTACCTCTTCTTGAAATACTTGTTTACCTACACCCACTTCTTTTATAACCAATCCAGTCTTTCTGAAATGTTTGTGGGTAAAGCCATTTTTTCTATTGCAAGTTTGAAGAGCAGTGTCGATATGGTGATCAGAAATGAGATTTTTTACACTCAAATACACCTTAGTTAGGAAGTCTGATAAATTACAGTGAAATTTTGTGGTATCAGTATTGTAATTTATAATTTTTTTTTAATTTCACGACACTTGTATAAAACCTACTAAATGTTGTTTTTTTTTACGTCCTCCACATGCAAAATTCAACTAGGCTTAGCAGATATGACACATAAGTACAAAGAAACTTTGTAACATCGTAAGTAGTAGAGATCATTGTTTTCTATATTTTTTTTTTATTTACTGCTCTATGTTTTAAGAAAAATAACTGATATTTAAGACTTTATTCTTAAATAGTAATAATGTATATACACGTGTAATGTATGGTAACTGAAATGTGATTGTATTTTACAAAGTACTGGTGTGCTAGTACTAAGATTAAGACATTTCTACATTGTAAAGACCTGATTTAAAGTATTCAATACAGTAACGTAAGCTGCATGTGTGCCTTGTGACACACAACTTGTATGTTGGTATTATCATTCAGAGACGGTTTAAAGGTCAATAAAACAAATTCATAAAATATAAATAGATGTATACTGTTACAAGATTTAAGCTATTTCTGTTACCTGTTTCCTGTTACAATTTGCAGTTATTCTACAATGAAAAGGGAGTAATTTAGATTTATTTTCTTATTTTTTATGGTGATTACGAGGTCAGTCAAATTGACCAACCCTGTATAGAGAAAATAACCAATAAAGTATAAAGTTTTCTAAAAAAATGTTTGGTTATTTCAGAGGTTATGGAGATTATGCAGATGAAATTTGACAATTTTCAGATGAAGAAAAGTATTTTTAATCTAAATATCAAAATTACTTTCCATGTTAGATAGCCAACATTCTGAAAGAAAGAAAAAGCTCAAGAGCAGATCTTTGATTAAAAAATCTGATATTTTATATATGAAAACCTTGTAATGTGTACTAATAATCTGTGAAGATACACATGTATTATAAAAAAATTATAAGGTGACTACTCTCATGGTTACTTTGGTGGTTACAGGCTGGGTGCAATGCACCCAGGTTGTACTTATAGTTAAGCAGAGAAAAAAAATATATGATGAAGCTTCAGGTTTTTCCAAGATACTTTTAGAATGTGGGAGATTGGAAACAAGAATGTAGTTTGTTTATTTTTTGACTTACATTAATTTGAAGTAAAAAAAAAACAAATACTAGAAATAACAGTGTGGCCACAATATGACCAGAAAGGGTAAGACTTGATATTTTCAGTTTTTGCTGTGCATACATGAGTTTTCTTAGTTGAACATATAATTGTTTGAAATAAACATTTCGTCATTTTAATATCAACTGATTAAACTGCACTCAACTGACACATAAATAAGCTTATACTGGACATATGCATATTCTTTCTGGGGAGAAATGGTTAAATTATTTAGAATATTTGAGTTTTGTATGTAAAGAAGAAAAACGTAACACTCATTGAAATAGTTTAGAACACAATTATTAAAATGTTCGATGTTAATCTTTGTTTTTATGACTGTTCATTCTTGAATCAACCATATTGAAGTCTTTTTTTCATCCAATAATTAAAAAAAGTTTGTAAAATGCTAAAGAAGCTAAAGTTCTAATGCATGTTCCATGTTACTTATAATCGTCTTAAAGTTTGAGAAACTGCTGACTGTGATGTGCACCTGTTTTCTTGTGTATGATTTGGCTTTGTTTTATCCAAGTATAGTTTCCATGGTGACTGTTCTGATTTCAGAAATAAGCTAGAACTATTAAGAGTATTCAGTGTCAACCTGTATGTCAAATATGAGTACCAAAAACCGGTATAAACGAATAAACTATTTTCAATAGAAAGTTTGTACAATATAATGAGACAGTTAAATATAATGAAAGTTATGATATTTCATGCATTTATTTTGTACTTATCTTATGGAGTAATTAAAAGAATTATGTTAATTCAAGGTTGTTGGAATGGAAGGAACCTTTGGGTTTGTCATCATGGCTGTGGTAAGTTCTTGAAATGTTGTTTTTTCTTGTTTTCCAAAGTACACAATGTAGACTGTCCAAGAAGATAAGGAGAATTAAAAAAAAACAACATAACACTTGATTTAATAGCATTTTATTAGGGGAAGAAAATGGGCTGACATTAAAATCCTAATGTATCAAATAGTTTGATTAAGAATGTATCATAGTAAGAAATTAAAATATTCTGTTAAACTTACAGTCCCTAGTTTCTTTGTAACTTTATTTTAGCTTTTAATTTTGTCAATGAACACCACTGTGGGACATTTTTATGTAGTCCTTAATATCTATGAAAAGAACATGTTCTGATGTTTTACACTGAGAAAGACTGTTGTTTCAAGTTATGAACATGATTCTAAAGAAAATCTTATTGTGTAGGCTGTACTCCCTGTCATGTACTTCATTCCTGGGCCACAAGTTGGAGGAAGCTATGAAAACAGTCTTGATGCTGTCTACCAAATTGGCCAGGACTACAGACTGTTACTCTTTAGTCTCCTGTATTTATCATCTATAGCCTTTTATAACTATTTTGGTCTTGCTGTTACCAAATCATTAACAGGTAAAAAATACAAGTAATATTCCGTTTCTGTCCTCTTAATTGCTGATTTGCATCAAATGCTGCTGTTATGGTATTATTGTGGTAAATGTTTAAAAGTTTGTTTTTTTTAAAAGTAGTCTTTAGTTTACTTTCAAAATTACTAGTTTGTTTCTTAAGTTCTTCATGAACTAAGGATTTAAAAAAATAATAATTATTTATGTAATCAAACACGTGTAACCACTTTTTCTATGACGTAATTTAACCCTCTGTATGCCATGTCAGTTTCCTCCTTCCTTATAATACCTGGGGTGCATTTGTACCCCAGCCTTAAAGCAGTGGTATTGCATTGAACTGCTCTATGTTTAGGTAACTGGCAACAAGCAGTCTCTAGAAACAACTTTCTTTACAAAACTATTACAGAAGTTGGGGAATTGAAGCTGTATCACCACCAGTGTGACCATCTCTGTGCTGCCACCTCTGCAGTAGTTCTTTGGCTCAAATTAATTGTCACTTTTTCTCTCTGACTGTTCTTCAACTTGATCAACATCATATATAATTTCTGATTCACAACTTTTTTCCACATTTAATGACAGCTGTATTTTCTTCTCCCAACCCTTGGATATTAGCTGAATGTGGTGCACTTATATCCTGACTTTCAACCTTGACAACTGAGAATGCTCTTTTGGCTTATATATTCTTTAAAAATGCTTCAAGAAAGGTCTTGAAATTTCCAGAACATTCTCAGGATGAAGCATTACAATGTTACAGAAATTTTCATAGATTTTAGAAATAATTGTACAAGTTCCTGCACATTTCAAAGAAAATGTAAATCACACATGTAAAAAACAGGATCCTTTTTCACCCTATGTACTATAAAAAAGTATAAACTGGAATCAAAACCCAAGGGGTCAGAAAATCTGATTTCATGTTAATGTGAAAGATACTGTATATCTTAACCTGTGCTGAATAACATAGATTTGAAGTGGAGTGGAGTACAGATACATTCCAGGTAGTTTACAAAGGGTTAAGTATACAAAATTCATGCAAATGCTATATACTTGAAATATTTAACTTACTGAATTTTTTCAATAGACAAGAATTATTAATGTAACAACTTACCCAACAGTATTGTACAAAAGCAAAATTTGAAATTATTACCGGTCTCCTGTGTATAATAACAGTATGACTTTGTGTTATAGGTGAATGTCTAGTATATTTTGATTCATTATTTTATGTACTGCTTCATAACATTACTTGCACAATTTTGTTTATTGTATCTAAGTGAATTTGTGTTGCTATTGAATCTCAGACTTGTTTTTTGTATATTTTAATTAACAGAGGCCAGAGAGTAAATGTAATTTATACTAGGCTAGATCAGTCAAAATAACAGGTTTTGAAAATTTAGCCACAATTTAATTGTTTGCCATTGTTGGAGCTTGGCTCTACCAGCTGTTGGAATTATTTTAACCCATTTATAGCTTTGTTAGAAACCCATTTAAATTTTTGTAGCTTTAGAGCATATTTTATTTATGAGGCAGTATTTTGTATTGTATGTTGCATATTTATCTTTTTTTAAATTGTGAGACAACACTATCATTACAAAAATGTAGGCTTAATGTGCTTCAGGGGCTTCATTTTTAAAAGTACGAAACTTAAAACAATTTCCAGACATAAGGACTAAATTTCTTGTTTATTATGTGTATTTTTCATTTATTATTGTAAAAATAACTGAAATGAAAAATTATAAAGTTATTAGCTTAAATAAGAAAACATGAATAAAATAATTAAATAAACAAATTATTTCTGATAACATATGAAGCAAGGCATAATTGTGTAATTTGATACGCATGCTGATAACTTGATCCTTTGTTTACAGAAAACTGTAAAATAATAAAATTAAATGAGCCCAAATTTGAAAAGTATTAGCTTTGGCTATAAGAATAAACTGTGTGTAATTAGCTCTTACAATGCACAGCCATTCTAGAGAGAAAAAAGGCAATATATATTTATTTTCAACTTTTCGTTTTACATACATTACTGGTTTTGCCACAGTTAGTGTTAAGAGTAGAGAAAATAGCAGATAATATAAATTCACGGGCAAATTTTTGAAAAAGATATTTTATTAAACTTTCCGAATTTTTGTGTACAACATACTTCTAATGAAGGTACACTTAATATATTCAGAATTATAGTAAACATTTTTATGTATAACATCACAGAAATGGGTTGGTACAATCCACCAGTGCCATTCCAGAAATCTAGATTATAATATTACTTGAAGTTACCACTTAGTCAAAATCCAAGAATTGTAGTTTCATGTATTAATATATAAATTAGTTACTTTGGTTGAAACAAAGTTGTAAAGATACCTGTAGTGGGCAGAGCATAGGCAGCCCTTTGTGTAGCTTTGTGCTTAACTACAAATAAACAAAGTTCTAAAATCAACAGAGTAATGAATTCTTTACTTTTATTTTTAACTTAGCTTTGAAGTTGAAGTCCTAATTATGAAAGATAGTGTTATTGGTGACTCACACCACAAATACTGTTTATGAAGAAAGATAACCATTCTTTATAAGGACTATAAATGGTAATTCAGTAGTATAATGGACATACAAGGTGGGCATGGTCTAAATGAGACATAAACAAAATATGAACTTATGAATATTTACTCAAAAATCTTACCCCAAATGTGCATCATAATAAGATTAACTCGTATAATTAGCTGCTGTTGGACTGTGATGAATGCTCTTATTGACATTAAGTCTTGGGGGGGGGGGTGCATTTGACTATTCCCAGGAGGTAATTCAAAAATCTAATCACATTAGAATACTTCATGGGTTGAGTTTACTATCCTGACCAATTTTGGTGATTATTGGACCAAACTTTTTGAAGTAAATTGTAAGCATACAGAGAAAAAATAGCATGCTGTATAATAAGATGACTTACATATGCTAATGCAATGACAATTTGCCAAAGATGTGATCCACGGTACCACAGTCTTAATGTTTATTACCCTAATATTTGGATTCCAGCAAATTCCTGACCATCCGATAGTGCAATGCCACCACAGATAACCTTATAGCTGGAAGATATGCCGCAGCCCTTATTAAGGAAGGATATTCATATAGCAAGATTGTTAAACAATGTAGAGCCAAATGATACAATAATTTGAAGAAATGGGCTTTAAATGTTATCTAATGAATGAATTCTCAGAACAGACTATTTAGGAGTTTCAGAGTCCAAAACTATATTCTTTTGCCAACTCAGGGCAATGCCCTTATTCTCAAAGTGAAAGCTCTGGTTATGAAAGAAAATCTTCTGATTCAAAAAGCTCTTACAATAAAGTTAGGTATATCTCCTGTTACTATTAACAATATTGTGAATAAAAATCTGGAATTGATGAAGGCTCACGAGACACGTACATGTTCACAAGCTTTCAGCCACATTTCAAAATCATCAGCTGCTCATCGTGAATAAAATGACAGAAGAAACTGAAATTATGTCAGTTCTCTTCTAAGACATACCTACGCCCTTGTCCAGTGGTTTTATACTTTGGTTTTTTTAAACATTATCTTGGGAGTCAATATCAGTGTACAGTGAAGAGTCTGTCAAAAATGTGGTTTAAGATTGATTATTTTTTGTGAAAGTTTGTAACAGTAGAAGTATTGGGCAATATTTCATTATCATGATCATCAGACAATCAATGATAGAGAAAGTAGTTCCAGGGACAACACAGGACCCGGAACTTTTTTGTTATGAAGTGCAACAACTCACAATAGTTGTAATTGATTAAAAATCTGTACAAACATAAAGAAATGTCTTTTTGGTAATTTATAGATTATGTGTATTTATGAATGACTAATTTATGTTTTTCTACAATTGCAGCTGTTCACCGTACCTTGATTGATGCTTGTAGAACTATCCTTGTGTGGGCTTGTGGTTTGATCGTCTACTACTTTATTGACAAAGTAGGATATTTCCCTCATTTATGTTTTTATTTTCTATTGCTCAACAAAGTGAACCTATATATATGTATTGAAACTGTTATAACGCGGTGACAAATGATGAATCAAATGATAGATTGGGCATCGTATATTTTTTAAGATGTTTGGTTTCTGCAACAATAAATAGATTCAAATATAAATGTGAATGATGAATGAAATTTTAAAACATTTAGTACAACAATAAAAAGCACACATTGTCATTATTTGGTATCTTTTCAAAATGTTTTAGACAGTGTTTACGAATTTACGGTCGCAATTTACTTTTGAGACATTCCAAGTTATTAGAGTTCTTTTCATTTATTATATTACAATTTTAATATCAAAGCAGACATATTATAAAATAAGTTTAAACATAACATTAAAATAAGTTAATGAAGAATATTTCAGTTTCTTCCCATTTTTTTTAATAAATTTCTTGTACATTTTGTGGAAATAATTAATGGGGTGATGTCTTCGTGTTATTATGTTTTCAGGCATTATTTTTTATGGCATCTTTGACCCATAATGTATAAATAACACTTGTCTATGATTTTGAAATGTTATCCCATAGACCTATACAGCTAAACTTAAAATCTGAGTTTTAATAATTGAAGAAATATTTACATGAAATTAAACTTTTAATCACAATTTAATGATAATTATATTATTTTTAGAGTTTTGGAGAGCCATTTGACAAACAATATGGAATTATTCAAGGTTTGTGATTTCTTTTATCCATTCATTCAGTTACCTTTAATTTATTTAACTAGTAATAGCAAATGTTTTGTTCTAGGGAATTTATATGTGAAAATTTAAAAAGTAATAAAAAGTTATTGTTCTGTTTCTATAGTGCATTTTTGTTATCTATATAAATTTAATAGTACTGTCTGTTGTATGTCCACTTAACTACTTCACAGGATATGGATGGATCTTCACCAAAATTGGTATGGAAGCTCATTAGGTCCATGCAGGGGTACTTAAACAATTTTCAGTTTTTTTTGTTTTTATGGGCATTTTTACCACTACTTTGCCTCCTGTAGATGGATCTTCACCAAATTTGATATGGATGTTCATTGGGTGCATGCAGATTTTCAGTTTTGCGGTTTTAATGGGTGTTTTTGCATTTTTTACCGCTACTTTGCCTCCCATAGATGGATCTTTACTAAATTTAGTATAGAGGTTCATAGGATGCATGGAGAGATACATAAAAATTTTCAGTTTAGCGTTTTCATGTTTTTTACCACTACTTTGTCGCCCTGTTGATGGATCTTCACCAACTTTGGGAAGAAGGTTTGTTTGGTCCTTGGGGAAATGCATACAAATGTTCAGTTTTATGGTTGTTATGGGCATTTTTACATTTTTTACCACAACTTTGCCCCATGTAGATGGTTATTCACCAAATTGGGCATGAAGGTTTGTTGGGTCCATGTGGAGACACATACAAGTGTTCAGTTTTATGGTTTTTATGGGCATTTTTTACCACTACTTTGCCTCCTGTTGATGGATCTTCAGCGAATTTGGCATGAAGGTTTGTTGGGTTCATGTGGATATACATGCAAAGTTGTGGTTTCACATTTTTATTTTGCGGTTTTTATGGCAATTTTTGCATTTTTTACAATTACATATAAGGGTAGCAACTTTTCATGTCTTAAGATAACCTTTCAGTGATAATGAATTTACAAAACTTCCATTCAGGCAACGGGTACTCCAGCTAGTTTTTAATATATTCAGGCATATAGAGAACTTCACCAGTAATTTATGTAGGTTATTGTATATTTCTTCCAGTTAGTTGTTTCATTACCTTTGTATAGTGAAAATGATTCTAAAACACATGGTAAATTTCACACAATCACAAAAAAAATAGTCAATAGCATTAGAAAGATATACCATTACAGTTTGAAGGTTTATTTAATTGAACATTCTTTTGCCATCATGAAACAAACTTGTTGCATTTCTAGCTGCTGTCAATACAAAGTGTCATAGCACCCAGTAAGTGACTTCCTTGAGTGAATATTCATACTTCTATCCACACTTATTTCTGTGTTTTGGTTTAAACACATTTACCCTATTTTATAGATATAAAAAACTAAGTGAAAGTCATGTTTTTGATTTTATTGTCAAATCTTTCACTTTTCTCAGCTCATCTTTTACTTTTAGAATTGGATAATGCAACCTAAAATCTCTGAGTTAATATTTTGAGGGATTTTAGGTATTTATCTATTTAATAATTATCCATTAACATCACTAGGTATAACTACCTACTTTTTTCCATGTACTTTTCAAAAGTACAATGCTTAAAAAAGAGAAGTTTGATAAACTTTTAGAGAACTAAAGAACAGGATTAAAGATGGGTTCTGAATAAGTTTCTGATTAAGTTGTTCAATGGTTACCTTTTCTCTGTTGGTAAAGTCCTGACTCTTCTTTCAGTGGATGGGTTTTTCTTCTTGATGATTGGCACTGCATTTTACAATGAACTAATGGAAATTCCTTTCATTCCTTGGCTGCGACGACCTATCAGTGAGACATACCCAAGCCTGGTGGATGCTGACTCTCCATCTTACGAGGGTAGCATTAATAGTGAAGTTGAAGTCAATGAAAGATCATCTTTACTTCCTGCAGTGTCTTCATCACCAGCATATAGTTGATTAATATACGACTTACTAATGAAACTTAATGTTTTTTGTTTTCTGTTATGTTCAAATTTCTCTGCAAGTATTGTTTTCTTTATGGCTAATTTTGAATACTTAAATGTTTAAAGGGTTCTTTGAAAATGAATTCCTTTCTGTGTAAGAACAAAGTTTCGTAAAATGAAAATTATATAGATTTATGTTTCACGAAAAAGTTTAACCTTTTCTAAAATGAATTTATTTTTCTAAATCTGTTTTATGTTTTGGTTTTTTTTTTAAGTTTATTTTGTTACAATTTTAAAATAAGTTAGTAAGTATTTATCTGGACTTAAATAGTTTAAAGCCCTTAATGAATTGTTTTCACATTTTTATATGGGGTGTTTATAGTATGAAGTTTTGTTGTTTGTAGAAAACAAGAATGTAACTTCTATACTTGACTAAAGTAAAATATATTATTCTGTGGAAACATTTCACTATTGAGAGGAAAAAGAGGTCGGAATAGAGGGCAAACAGCATTTTTCCTTGTTTTTTTTCTAATTTTTCTGAAATATAACTCTTCTAGACTGGCAGTGGGTGTTATATTCTCGTTTTTCTTTAACACAAGTACTCTATACTCTCTAGTAATGTTTTATTGTAATCACTAGTGTACTACTTACTTTAATCTTATGTTTGTGAAGTTGCATTTGAAATACCCTGTATATACATATACTTTATTTAGCTTTAACTGACATGACATAAATATTTTGCTTTTTAATATAATAATAAATATCTACACATATCAAGTAAGCTTTTTTACTGTCAATACAATATGTATGTAATTCTGTAAAATGTATTGAATATGCTTAATGTGCCAACACAAAAGTTTTCATTTTTTTTATACAAATTGTATGTAACCCATATTTATATTTTTTGTTTTGTGTAAATTCTACTTGAGAAGAAAACCACCTGGCACTTAATAAATGAAATTTTCTGATAATCTGGTTACAAACATTAATTTCAATTAAAAAGAAATGTATTATTTTCTTCACATTAGAGTATGTTTGGGTATGTAAAATACAACGATATATGATGGTAAAATGCTCTCAGATTTGCAAGTTCTAAACAATTAGAAACTTAAAACTAGTTTATTGAAGGTGGGTAGACATAGTATCTGTAAATAAATAAATAAATAATAACAATTTTAAAAAATAATAATTTCTTATGAAATGTATTTTATTATGGTAATAATCTGAAACCTTTGTGCTGTAGTAACTCCTGTTCTTGCCCCATTAGACCATAGAAAATATATATTTAATACACATACACTTTATCACTATCTAAGTACACAATAATACTCAGATAGCACCAGTCATGGAGAAAAAAAAAAGATACCAAGATGTTTTTTTTTTTTTTTTTCAAAGACACAGATTGTTGGTTTGTAGTTTTTTTACATAAAGATCTAATTAATCAATACATATAGAGTATTAAACAACAATAATAATATTACATACATTGATATTTGGTATATAAATTGCCGTAATATTTCAATAAATGTACTCGAAATTCTATGACAGAAAAATGTACATTTAACAATTTTATAAA